GTACAATAAACACTAAGCGGGGCAATGATAACTATTGCTTTACATGCAAAACGTTTTTCATTTAATTATGAAGTTTGTTTTACATGCATGTACATGAGGGTTCATATATCAATATGTATAAACAGTTCGATCGGTGGAAACATAAACAATTCTTTCTGTAATGACTATGATGTCTCCACCAGTACCTCCATCACATAAATAGACCGTGATAAGTCCCTTTTTCCTCAAAGATTCTGATTGGGAAGTGAAAAATGCTCTGAGAAAAACTGAAGAAAAGCTTTTAGTTTTCATGTCTCTGTTGAAAATATCTGAGGATGACGGTTACGTCATTTACTACATTAATTATTAATAAATCTGATTGAAGACTTCTAATCAGCTCTTTCTGACAAAAAAGGACAACATTTTTGAAATCTAACTTATTTAACTTTTAATAGTAAGAATTATAGACAAATGTACACTTGACATGGTAAAAAGATGTTTTGAAAATGATTTTGCAAGGTAAGAACTAAGCCCAGGAAACCAGACATCCTTTCTGTTTGGATAATACCTTACACGTAAAATGTTGTATTACAACATTCAACTTTACAATTCTGGTGTAGTTTAAAAAGACAAAAAGATCAAGTCAGAACAAAAACATTTTACATTCTTATAAGACTGTAATTTTCTCTAATAAAAGTTTCGCAGTTCCGACATCTGTCACTATAGATGCACTGTTCATTCAACAAATATTTCACTGTCAAGTAAAAAAATAATGATTGGAGACTTTTAGCTATGTAATAATCTGCTTAAATAATTAAAAGTGGTGCCCTAAGAATGATTAATATTTGACTTCTCCTTATGATTATATCTCTCCTCTTTACAATACAGCAATTATTGTTGGGCGGGCAGGCGGGGAGTACCAAAGAAAATCACCCACTAAAATATAAATTTTGTGGATCAAACTACCAGACTCTCTTATAACCTACAGTAAAATGAAGGTATCTTTATCATCAGTACAGGAAAAAAACTGCTTCAATCTTGGATTTAAAAGTAATGTGTTAAAAAAAATGTGCCAATTTGATTTTGAACCAAAAGTTATAATATTTTTCCTTCATGATTTGCTCCTCTCAAACACATTAATTTTTACCCATGTCTCAAACCCCAAGTAACTTGAGAAAATTTTCATTTCTCTTCGAAGTTCAACAAATTAAGATTTCACTACAATTACAAAGCTGCGACAGGGAACACATGTCATCAAAACTGTAGAATATACCCCAATGCCTGTTAGAATCTTTGGGATTTCCCTTGGATGACTTTCAGTAAACTGTGGATCTCCTCAATAATTAGCATCTTGCGTTTACCTTTCTACATAATAAAGAATTTCATTCTCTTAAGCTATACCTACATGTACACTTTCTGCATCAAGTATAAATTTTCTTGTCATTAGAGGATTAAAAGCCTTTCCATGCTACATGGTATGTGGCAGGTGAATCATAACAACGACAGGAAGTCAGATGCTAATCTTGTGTGACCAAAACTACAAGGTTCTATCAAATGTTGAACTTTAGCTTGATAGGCCAGACTCACTGAGACTTGCATTGAACAGTTAAGATAATCAAGAGGCAACATAATAGAAAAATACGAATATTACACAGGTTATATTTTGTTTGTTTCACAAATGTCAATGCCAAACTGAATAAACTGGACTGTACTATTGCCATTTAAAATCTTCCTGATCACAGCTGATTAAAATCCATGCAACAACATCAACAGCACCAATAAAGACTCCTGCATATTAAAAGGGAATAAGGTCTGGATAACTGAGTGTTTGACCACAGTATTAATAGAGAGGAATGGTTAAAAAGCTTGACAAAGTTTGTTATACAAATACTAACTTTTTTACCTTGAGTGTGTACTAAACACAATGGGTGCTTACTTCTGTCAGAGAAACCAAACAATAGAGACTTGTTGGTTAGAAATACCTAATTCAAGAATAGTGTATGAGCATGTAAAAAAGTCTATCCACAACTGTGTAATTTCCAACATAGAATTTTAGTTTTATCTTGGCATCTTTGGGTACTCCTTTGAAGTTTGCTAGGCTCCATAACCATTTGACCTCTATTAACAATTCTGTATGGTTCGACTATACAATTAGCATAAATGCCTAACTCCTGCCATTTGAAAACTGGATGCTTCTGCCAAGTGGATCTTCCCACCATATCATGAACCCAAGCACTTTTGTCTAGTACACCCTTAATTTTAATAATTATGCATTAATGTTACATTTGTTAACACCACATATTATAACACTTCTATTTTATCTCAAGAAAAATTTGATCATGGGGTGTTGATAAAAGTACCATTATTAAGCATAATTATATTCAAGTTGCCACAAAGACATCAAAATATTGATGAAATCTTCATGGACTATCCTCAGATAATTATACAGCACAGTGTTGATCTTCTCAGACATCTGAGGAAGGAACCAAACCAGCCTGTGCCATCATTCCTCTGTATGGACCTTGGAGTCTCAAATACTGAAACACAAGCACTTCATTAGAGATGATGTCTGGCTGAATTGACAACTGTTATTAACTGTTAACAGTCTCACTAATGTTTTGAAAGCATAGCAAACACCTGACATTTTATGAAAAAAAATATAGTATACATGTAAATTGTCACAATTTGAAACCAAACTACATGTGCAGTGTCTATATCACCTAAGGGGTATTAATTTTTATGGTATCCATGTAGAGCACGGAGTTTTTCAATTCCTAAGCCTCACCCTGAGATCGAGCTTTTAAGTTCCTGTTTGAGCCATGCCCTTCCAAGTTAAACATTCAAGTATCTTAGCAAAAAAGAGCCTAGGTTCTAGTATGGTCATGACGTCACTTCAAGAATGACAAATCTTGCATTGACAACTTTTCTCTGAAGGCTTCATGTAAAAGGTGTACCCTGGAGCACCTAAGACTTTATTCAGACCAGGACAGCAATGGCAACAAGAAGGTGGAGCAAAAGAATAACTCTGCAGCAAAAGAATAACTACAATAAACTATAATTTTTGGGGCTGTCCTGTTCAAGTTAAGGACAATCATATGAAATGACCAGTTTCAGAGAACTCTGGAGAACATAGAACCATTTCTCAGACAAAAAGAACATGCAGGTATTTAACTGGAATGTTTGGCCACCTGAGCTTATACCTGTATAACTAATGAAGGTCCGCCTGCGACAACTTCAGCTGGAAAGCTGCTAAGAGGACAGTTCTCTATGCTCATGATCTGAAGGGCATTACACAACGCAAGTTCATAAGGAAGAACTTGAAGGCTGTCATTATCATTGAGATACAGTTGTTCAAGTGATTCCATTTTACCTAAAAGAAAAACTTGTGTTTTAATGACACTGAAAGTCTTTTACTGTACCTTTCAATAACATGCGGACTCTAAAATTCAAAGCTCAACCAACCAATGCATTTTTTGCTACCGTCAATCAAATGTGCGGGGGCTCCTCCCAGCTTCCGACTACTGCCAAACGCCTGGTAATCAAATCATTGAGCACAGTTCCGACAACAAAACAGTGCCTGGCAGTAGTTAGAAGCCGAGAGGAGCCGCCAAACATTTGATTGATGGTAGCGAAAAACGTATTTGTCATTTGAGCTTTGACTTTAGAGTCCGCATGTTACTGAAAGGCGCAGTAAAACAGGAATGCTATAAAAATGAAGGCAAGATTAAACGCAGAATAACTAAGCCACAAAAACAAGGGAATACTAATTCTTTTAATATACTAATCAGGGCACGTCAAGCAAAACATCTGTATGAATGATCCCTAAAAGGGCAGCAGGAAGATGAGGCCTAATGCCTGCATTATATGCAACACTTACAAGGGCAACAAGGAGTCCATGAATGAACTAGAGAACGATAGTGGAAGTGTAGAGAGAAGGCAGACAGGTCCGCTGCAATGATGGGGGCCAGGAACACAGTGGCATCAACACAGAATATTGCAAAATTGTGTGCTTGTAAACTGGCATGAGAAGCAACTATGATGATTATATGTGAAGCTGGGTTACTGAGGATTATTGGGTCAGCTCTTTATTAGTTCTGACTCCAATAGAACCTTTAGATTACTGGTAGAGTTGAACCTCCCGTAAGTGCTTACGGAAGGTGGTTGCTTACGAGAGCTTAGACCATATTGTGTCAAAATTGCACCTCATTAGCATAAGGTAACTGCAGAGTTTTAAATGTTTTATTCATGTGAAAAGTCAATTTCACAATTTCAAAAAAAAATCTGGCACTTCCCATTAAGAAACTGTCGTCTCTTGCACTACCCAGGGATGTGATAATGTTAAACCATCTTTTTATCCAATGTTTGCTCTATCATCTGTCAAGTGGTCACGTAGGGGAAGTTAAAAACAAAATAAAATTTCAAACTTTTAGCTCTAAAAGTGGTCGCGGTTGCTTAGGAGAAGTGGTCGCTTACAAGAGGTTCCAAATATAGTGATTTGACTTGGAAACGTCTGGTATTTTGGAAAACTGGTTGCTGAGGAGAGGTAGACCCTTACAAGAGGTGGTCCCAACCGGAGGTTCAACTGTAATTAAACTCTAAGATAACTTGCAGATTTGTGGTTCAAGCTTATCCCGTCATCAACTGGAAGGAACACATATTCCCTGAGAAGGCATATCTCTATTTAGTGTTAAAGGCAACCTGGACACTATGTACACTGTACTTAAATCTTGTACTGCTCAGTTTCATTACCTATTTCATCAGGGAGTTGCGTGAGATCATTTTCACCTACACTCAGATATGAAACATTGGTCAGGTATCTGAAATATATATGTGATACAATAGCTGAGTTAGTGCAAAAGCCATGCTGAAACCAAATCTGAATATAGTTCAAGGTATTTCTGTATGTACAGAGAAGTATAGCACCAATTGTACAAGGAAGATCAAGGGTGATATTCTCCCAAGAATGAATGTGGTCCTGAGCTAAATAGGATGATAAAGAAGTTTCACATATAACTCTTAGCTAGTTAACATTTTGCTACCCATTTTATGCCAGTCCCTGTCAAAAACCACTGATAATATCTTAATTGGATACTAGGGGAAAATAGAACCTTAACTCACAGTACGGTACAGGTTACAACTTGACAAGCGACTTGCCATATACATGCTATGTACCTAGTTCTAACGCCAGCTAACTATTTAGCAAACTACTTGCATTGAACTTAGTCCCCTACATGTAGGGTACTGTACTCGTAACTGCTCCTAACAAAGAATTAAGGAAGGACAAATTTAGGGGAGGGAGGAAGGTCAAACAAATGAACTTAAATGGGGGGGGACATGTTTGAAATTTTAGGGTTTACCAAAACACACAACAACCTGTAAAAAATATATCCTGTCACATAAGATGTGCATACATACTGCACATCTCCTTTTATTAACATTGACTATTAATAGGCTCACCCTATTGATTTTGGGAGTGTGGTTAGATTGTTTGACTGAAGAACTAGTCGCTCTAGACTCCTAAGAAAAGCTGAGAATAGAAAATAAATTTATATCAGGTAAAAACTTAAATATGCATTTATTTGTTGAAGAAACTGACCACATGAATTCCAAGTATTTGCAAGAGATCCTCACCGATTTCATTGGGAAGCAACTCCAGCCGGTTTTCTTCTAAGTCAAGGACTCTAAGTTTCTTCAATTCTCCCAAACCCCGAGGCAGTCTCTAAAAATAAGATACAATAATCGGGGTTTTCACTACGTTTCAAGTTGCCTGTTGTCTTGATCTTCACACCCAACAAACTTTTTGTTTTGTGAGTGAATTGTACCAAGAGCAGGCAAGTTCACCTGTAACATCAAGGATCTTTGAAACAAACTCAGTCATATTAGGTGTTACAGGTTATTGTTGTGGCCCTGTTAATGACAGCCCTAGCATTCTTACCAACATAATAAGACTTGAAAAAGGGACTTGAACCAATGATAAAAGTTTATGACATTACTCTGCCCAGGAAAGAGCAAAGTAAGGTTCAGAGGTTACATAGCTTTCTTACTGACTGAAGGAAGATAACTTTGACTCCTTCTCCACAAATTTTGAAGCCATTTTGGAAAACATGGCATGGGAAGCACTGTGGTGGTATTTACCAATTGCTTGACGTGAACTATAATCCTCCAAAGCAATTTTATTATTTAATGATTACCATTAATTTTGCCAAGTTAAACTAAAAATGGGCAGGGGAATTAAAAATGTTGTCAGAAACTGAATGGTCGGTATGGGAATTGAAGGCACTGGCCAGTGGAAAGTACCCAACACATACACTGTAGTCCAGTTTTGTACCCGCATCTTGTCCCCCCTGGGCAGAAGGCACTCCAAAAAAAATGAATTTACAATGTAAGTTATAAATACTCACTCTAAGAAGATTGTTGCTAAGAATCAGAACTTCTAAGTTTGTAAGCCACTGGATGTCCTCTGCAACAAGGTAAAGAGAATCAAAATTAACTATAACTTGAACTTGGGCAAGAGTGATGATCAACATCATACATGTAGTTCTGAGTTAAAAAGTGAAAAAAGGGGAAAAGAAAGAAAGAAAAGATTTCTTGTTTCCAAGCTACACAGGGAATGAATGATTTTGAATTTGTACGTAACTTATGTAATGGCATAGTGGTTACAGGGTTCACACATGGTCTTGTAAGTTAAAACAACATTGGTGATAAAATTGAACCTCTCTGTAATGGCCAGCATGTAATGGAATTAGCTAGCCACTGTACAGAGCTTATGAGGTTTAAACCTGAGGGTCAAAAGCGTTGGATTGGTATGAGCAGTTTATCATTCCTGGTAAGAGTTAGCAGAGGTTTTGTCTGTACTTAAGTAATTTGACATCAATACATTGATGACGTACCTGGAAGCCTTGACAGTTGATTGGTTCCTAAGTTTAACTCGACCAGACTCACCCAGCTCCCAAAATCTATATTCATTTAAAACAACTGAATGTAAGCTATCATTCAAAAAATAATGTATCTAATTCTGAAAATTCTCATGGCATGGGACATGCATAAAATTTAGCCAAGCAGCATGGATAGGGTATCCACAATGTTAATCTGATGGTTGAGAGTAAAAAGTGCCACAAGGCCTCCAATGAATGTAAGAAGCCAAGAGAAAGCTGAAAACTGGTGACGGAGATGTTTACTCACCTAAAGGTAATGCCGCTATTTGGTTCTCTTTCATGTTAAGTTTTGTCTAGAACAAGAACGAGTTGAATTTATGTAGTAAAAAAATAATTCAGTTGAGATGATGGAAACTGAAAAAAAAAGTATCACTGACGATATAAACATCATACCACCATTAAAAGTACAAATTTCATTATTTAATATTATAATTTACTTTTAAGACAGGGATGCACAGCGAAACAGTGTTACACATGGATGTACATGTAGGAGTGATGATTGGTAAAATCCAAGACTTGCAAAAATGCCAAGATCCTTATTTGAAAATCCAAGACTGAGACTTATTTAAATGATCTAACACTGCAAGATGAAAGAAACGTACTCAAAAAAGACTTCCTGATCCATCACGTGAAACAGATTCTGAGAGTTCAAGATCAGATCAAAAGTTTCCAAACCAATGATCTTCTAGTGACCATTTGCCATCCCTTCATTTATGTATATGTGGTTAATTTCACAGACTGAAAGAGAGCCTGTCACTAGAAAACAGAGACTTTAGGCAATTTTGCTGGAAAAGTGGGCTGGGTTTTAATGAACCTGGTAAGCTGTTTCCTAGCTACAGTACTATATAACAGAGCTGTACAGCTCTTATGAGTACACCATTTTAAACAAAGTTTGAAACCTGTTACATGGCTCATGATTTACTCTTACCAAAAACTTTGCTTTAGAAAATGCTCCAAATGGAATCTTTTGTACTTTATTGTGCTCCATGATAAATGTCTGAAAAAAGGATAATATAAAGGAACATTTTTAAGTGACATCACAAGTAAGTTATCGTAGGATCACAAAAAACACATTAAAACCCAAAGTAGTTAAAGATAGGAAATAAGCTAGAAAGTGGGGGCGAGTGAGAAAACAGTTTTTTTATCCTCTCCCCCTGCCTTCCTTTGTCTGATAGCCTCAAACAAACTCTTTAGTCTAATTATTGTGAGTGGACCAGTTCTTCTCATTGGTACTGATAAAGATAATAAAATCCCTTGAAACAAATAATGAACACTAACAAATAACTTAAATTCAATGATAAACCTACTTGAACTGCAGCGAGCTGTTTGGGAGGTCCGGTTGGAAAGTGTTCAAAGTTATTCCTAGACAAGGTGACATTGTTTAACATTTTTAAACAATGAAGAAGGTTGTCCTTAAAAAGGAAAACAAAAAACTGTTAATAAAAGCCATGTAGGGGGGACAACAAAATAATGGGTAAAGAAGTAGCAAGCAGCTGTTGTTACTCCTCTTGTTACTATTATTATTTGTACATGTCCTAATAACAACAACAAAAAAAATACTCACAGGGAGTTCTGACACATTGTTCCCTTCAATATTGAACTCGTCAATTTTTGTGCAATTTGCCAATGATGCTGGCACTGCAGATAGCTGGTTGTATCTGTGATAAACAAAGATTATTAATTAAAACAAATGCCAACAACAATGGCCAAACTAAATTGACTTGTAGCTGACCTCAACAGAGCCCATTCTGAATAACCCAGGCACTCATCCTCTCTGTACACTACACACTTGGTTTGAGAGAAAGTCCTGTCTGTTAGGCAGGCCTGGGCTGGTGGATTTTGTGCCCAGGCTAGAGGTTTCTGTTCTTATTGGGTAAGTGAAGTTTCTTAGGAAGACTTTTGAAGAAATTCAAACTAGAGACGCACTGGACAAGATGAAATTTTGTGGGCTAGCAGGGCTTGAAAAAAGTGTCGTGCGGTCATCCGGGACAAGACATAGTAGGTGTTCCTGCTGGGCAAGTAATTTTTCAATCTCACTTGCCCAATGGGCAAGGGCCCAGGCAAATTATTTGCCACCTAAATAAAGAAATTAAACTAGGACTTGCTCAGGGCAGGCAAAAATTCGAATTCTATTTTTTTTAGCCCTGGCTAGTAGGTGACTTAGGACACGATGCAATGTCCACGGCCAGGGCTCGAAACAGGATCACTCAATCTGGAGTCAAAAGGCCACTGCACCTACCCATCCATTATGCCACCACTTCTATTTTTGTTCTCTGATAAAATCTAGCTTGCGGGACACTCAGCAGTTTAGTAATTTCTGATAGATTGTTCCACTACCATCTGATATATCCATTACAAACTCTTGGACAGCATGCAGACATCCGACATTACCCACCTGAGTCCTAGTCTTGTCATTTCTGTCAGATTGCCGATTGTGTCTGGTATTTCAGGAATATCATTATGTTGAAGATCAAGTGACGTCATTTGGACACAGTTGCCAATCTCTGCACACACATAAGAACTTTAAAATTATACCATTGATTAAAATGCACATCCACAACATGACTACAAAAATAGATCTGGGATAGTCTCAAGACATAAATTTTCTAAGTACTGGAAACCTTAGAAATGAGTCTTCCAGTCATGATGAGAAATTACCATCGGACAAAAACAGCTGCATGCGTCCTATACATGTCATAAGGAAATAAGTGAGGGCTTATTCTGCAGTAACCTTTAAAGGGATGACAACTTTCTTGAATTCAGGATTAAATAATTTATTGCATAACAATTAATCAATCAATCAATCAATTAATTAACAATAATCGACAATGAATTGAATACATTAATAATTAATGTTAAGCTTATGAAAGCAGGGAAAAATAAGTTACCTCTAGGAATGCTTCCAATATTGTTGTGAGAAACATCAAGAGTAACTAGATGAACAAGATGACCTGAAATAAGAGATAAAATAATATATTTCATAAATATTGAATAAAATTGATCTTGTGGTTCAATATTACCCTTGTCTATACTCAAAGGAAATACCAACTTAACAGACATACACGTACATGTGTACCAAAAGGCAAATTAAAACACCACATAAACACACTTAACAAACTATTTAATTCAATATATAGTAATCACTGCCACAAAAGACACCTGTAAACAGGTATACCACACAATCATTACAGTTTACTTCCATTAATTACAATTAGCACCTGTTTCTAAATGTGGTGGCTAAAAGATGCATGCCATTTTGTTGTTCAACCTTCTGTTACATGTAAGCAGATTACGAATGCCACTTTACAGTACAACTAAATACTGTGTAATGCAATAAATTATTTATTGCCATCAAATGAAAAAGTAACTGGTAAGTTTTACCTATTACAGCTGGTAAATCTTTAATCTTGTTTTCTCTGAGACTCAATCTTTCAAGCAGCTGTAAAATGAAAGGCATATAGCAAAATCCAGTTAATAAGTATTAATTAATTTTACATGAAGAAACACACTTACAAATCAAAATGTATAACTAATACATGTCTTTCATAAACTATGATAACAAAAATACTACTAATAATAATATAATAATAATAACAATAATAACAATAAAAATGATAATGATAATGACAATGACAATGATAATGATAATGATAATGATAATGATAATGATAATGATTATAATAACAATAATAATAAAACTTTATTTAAGCGTTAAACCATGTAGCCTGGGAGAAACCCACACTAATGAGGGGACACAGACTTACACAACATACAAAACTTGTAAGACTAAAATATCTACACTAAAATATGAAGAATACAAACGCAGTCTAAAATGTTTTAAAGATAAAGCTAAACATTAATGCATATAGGTCATGTATCAATATCTGATCTAATATAAAAAAGTCTATTAATTTTACTTATAACTACCGAGCTAATTTAACAACTAGTTAAATTTGTTCCTATGACCAACCAGCAATGAACACTTCAAACTATGTATGGTTAATACAAAATCAAACTCTTATAAAAAAAAATCTCTTTTGATGGTTCTATTTTGCTAAAAATGGAGTCTTAAGATAAATGTCATAAATATCAATGACTGCCAAAGGCTCTGTCAGTCAGTGCAAAAAATATTTAAATTATGGTAATCTCAACTCACTCTTAAGTTGCCAATTCCAGCTTCAACTACAACTAGTCTGTTAAATCTAAGGTAAAGAGTAGTTAATGACGTAAGCTGATAAACCACAGGTGGAATCTGAAAAAAAATTATTGATACAAACATTAATTGGTCAGTATCTTCTCAACAGTAATCAAATAAATGTACTACACCATTATATTTGCTTGCAGCCCTAAATGCAAAATAATAACAATGCAATTAACTTTGCTGGCCTAACTGTAAGTTTTTTCACAGAAGTAAGATTTAGATTTAAAGATCTGTAAACTTACATTTACTCCATACTTACAATACAAAGCTGTTGAGGTGTGACAACATCACATAACATTGTTACTTTATGGGTGTTATCAGGTATGGTGAATAATTTATAAGACTAAGACTAAGAGCAGAAGAACACCAAAAACAAGTTTAGAACAAATACATGTAGAGAATTCAGGCAGGCTGCTATACAAGTTAAAAGGTCAATTATTGCCCAGGGCTGTCATTAAGTTTTAAGTCACCTTGATCTTCACACCCCTAACAAACGTGTTACTTTGTGTGTGAATTGTGTCAACAACAGGCAAGTTCCCCTGTAACATCAGTGGCCGATCAAGCATACTCAGCTGTAACAGGTGTTACCTGAGATGATCCTTATTGACGGCCCTGTTGTCAGCTGGGACCCAGTGGAAGTCAAAATATCTAACTTGATTAATGGGCTGGTAACACTCTTAATCTCCTGGTCAAGGGATGGGGGAGGAGAATACAAACCCTTGGGGTATTGACTATCACTTTGTTTTACTCTGAACAAGTCTAAGAAACATTTTAACATATGAAGTAGCAAAATCAGTAGTGATCAGTCCTTGTGATCATATTGTCAAGTTCAAAATGAGTATCAGTAAGAAGCTACAGTACATTGTACATACCACTAGTTACTGTGGGTCTCATTACAAGAAAACAGGGCAATCAAAGCGATAAAAAAAAATGAATCAACCATTGAAACATTATGCTTTAAAGAATTTTTTCAATGCCAGCTGGCCTTAAATTTATCGTTTAAAAGCCAGTTTTTTTTTTTAAATTTTGAATCATATCATCCACTGACATTTACCAGTAAATATTTTCAGAATAACTGTCTTGAATGAATTTATGTGACATGAGATCCACAAGATCCAGCCTTGATTATGATTATTCTTGTAAATTGAATCATGCAGAATGGTTTGAAAAAACAAAAACAAACTTGAAATACCTCTTTCATCTTGTTGTGTCTCAAGTCCAGTAGTTTCAAATTCTTTAGCTTTACAAGAGTATCTGTTATAAAGCACAATTACATGTGATATTACCCACACTTTGTTGGTTTCTTCAATTCCCCAGTATGGTTAGAGTTTTACAATAAATTGTAACTTCTCTTTAATAAGAACAATAATACACTTTATTATTCAACTTTCATACACTGTACAAATTCCGATTTTCTGGTTGGCTGATTTGTACCATGTGATATTGGGTTGTCATGAAACAACCACATTGACGTCATTATTGTGGTGTAATAGCTGTGGTGTAAATTCAACACACCACTGTCATTACACCATGGCTTCGGCTGACTCAAATATAGTGGTTTCAATGCAGTGTTTCTTTGTGCAGTGTATTCAATTTGAATAATAAAAATGTTAACACACTAATTGCTCGTGAATTATCGGGATTTTCCTGTACTCAATCACTAGCAATGAACTCAAAATTTTCAATACTGCACTCAGCAAAGCCTCATGCGGTATAAAAATTTCTTGTTCACTGTTAGTGAACTCGTGCAGGTAAATACCGATAATTCACTCGCTGAGTGCATTAACCTGTAATTATAACATACACGTCTCCAATGATTCTCCAATGATATGTATCAGAGCCACAATATTTCAAACTCAATATTGCATGTACCCTGTATATACTGTAGTTCATTTTACTCTTGGCACAACCTGCCAGGTATTTTCCAATGCTCTGATATGGTACATCTAGGCAACTGCTCCTTCTGTGGGTTTACCACGTAGTGACATGGGATGATGGGAGAACATGAGAAAACCTTGAAAATTCCTGGATGGGATGTTTGTAATTTAGTGCTCAGATTCCCTGATAATTTGCTGGTCCCCATTTGTACAAATATTGCCTGATGTTGGATTTTATTGACTAGGTATAGACCAAGGCCAGAGATTAAGCCCGAGCCTCTCAATTCAGCAACAGCATTCTAGCTCTAGTTAACTGCTAGACCAATATCTTTGTGTTTCCTACAAAACATTCAGCTAAAGTCTATGATATTACCTGGTAGGTCAGTCAAGTTATTCTCATTTAATGCCAGTTTTTCTAAGTGTTTCAGCATTCCTACTTCAGGTGGCAAAGTTGCAATTTTGTTCCCATACAAATATAGTTCCTTAAGCTGGGTTAACTGAAATTAAAAGGGAAACAAAAAAAATGTCAGAATGAAAAAATCTCCATCAATCCATTAGTCGCTAACCTATATGCATTCACTTCCTTAATCACTTGCTCTATGATTCTCCATCACTTGTCTATAAGAAAATTCTTGATTCCCCGTCAGTGCACCCATTTGCTACGTAATTGGCACGCAGTCATGTGGGTGTCCAATTACAGCTATCTAATTTGAACTTTTTGTAATTGGATACCTATAATTGGATACCCACATGATTCGCACATTAATTGCACAGGCTTTAATGGCTTCTCTGCAGTGTTTCCTACTAACAGTTTTCAAAACTTATGAAAAGCACTACCTATGTTTTCGTACAAAAAAAGTTTTCAAAAGACATTTTTAATTCCCAAATTTGTTATAGATACCGTTAATTAGTAGTTGGACCTTGTGTTATACAATTCAGGGAGTAATCGTGCTCGTAATTTCAAATGGGCCTCATACTTTACACTCATCTGATTTTGAAATTACTTCTGCGATTTCTCCCTGAAATGTATGAAACAAGGTCCAATTACTATTACTAATTAATCCACCAGATCAACAATCACACAAAATATACCTCTTTGAGTTCCTTGGGAAGTGCTGTTACCTAAAATTAAATATATAACATGTGGTTAAAATTTGTTCCAGTTTCAAAATGCTAAAACAAAAGAAAAGGAACATCTGGTTTTTCAGACCAGTCCAAAAAATCTCAAACCAAGAAAAAAATTAAGCAAGACACATTTAAAAAATTTATATTTTTACTGACAATTCCTGTACATGTACTTTTTTGCAACAAATGTAAAATATTTGACTAATAACCAATAGCACGAGCTACACCGTACAAAAAAACATATTGTATACCACCAGAACACCATCCAGAAAAAAAGGATACAGATACAGAATGTGAGAAATTCAAAGATTGACACTGCTGATGATTTCGAGAAGGCTAGATGGTACAACCAACACAGATGTTGAACTACAGTAACAGAGGCATTTTTCTGCATAATGCCTTTCTATAACACTAATTTATAGTGTTATTGGCTAGCAACAGCATGGCGTTCATCATAGCCATTGATGCTACAGATAATTTTCTTCATATCCTGTCTTCTCAGTAGGGAATAAGGACTGCTGCAACTTTTCATATAAGAGTTCTCATTAATTTTTTCCCTTAGAATCATGGGAGAAATATCTATCGGAAGAATATTCTAATTGTTTGTGATTGAATTGTTCTTACTTTTCCAAAGTTCTGACTTGTCGTAGACCGTAAAATGTGTTTCAGAATGCTGCATTTGTTCAAAATAAATGTCTTCGGGAGGAAGGGACAAACATTTCCATTCCAAATAATTTTACATTTAATTAATAAAAATTTTGATTTCACACAAATTGCCAAAACAAACTTGCTGGATATTATTTTAGTTCCATGATAAGAAGGTTGAGACACTTCCCATAATTAAATCAGGGTCAATTTTTAATACCACATTTCATTTCATGAAATACACCTTTGAATAAAACAGTCTAGACAACTTATTTTGAAAATCACAAATGAAAAAATGTCAATAGATGTACTCGCGCGATGACTTTTAAAAATTATTATTGACTGCGTTTAAGTTGACTTTCTGATTAAAATCACTCCATTACACAGAGAGCTCGTAAATTAAAAACTCTAAAGGAATCATCATGCACGGAGAAAGGAGTTTCGTTGCCACAAAAAAGGCAAAACAACGCTTTAATACGTTCAGAAAAACCTCTAATCAGCTATTTTGAGAATCGAATATCAAAAAAGCTCAGTTTAGTTCAGCAAAACATTCGTTCGCGATAAATTTGCTGTATTGAATTCGTTGAACGTGGAATCATTACATGATAGTTTTGGTCAAAATGACAGGTGATGATCGCTATGTCCGCTGTGTTCAATGCCGTAAAATTAGAAACTCCGGTCATAGGCCAATATGTTATTTTGTAATTACACCCTTGCACACATTCCCTGCTAGCTAATTGTACTTAAAGAAAATTTAATTCGTGCAAAACAGAACTTGGCAATAAACTCGAACCAGCTGCAACGGAGAAATTCCCCACAGGCAAATGTGGATTTCCATCCCGGAAATATAAAGCACTCCAAACCTGCTAGCTTGCTTTGTTGCAATTTTCGTTACCTTACAAACACAGATTAAACCATGGCCGATTATCTGAGCCTGTGTTGTGCACCAAAATAGCTTTTATTCTGACAAACATACTGATCTAAATCACCGGGCAATACGCGGATGTGAAAAAAAAACTTTAATTCCTGTTCACGATTTCGCGTAATTCTTACCGCTGCTTTGCTTAGATCCAAATGAGTTGACCCCTCCTCCCGGCATTTTGTGATTGCTTTGTGGATATCCTGCCGAAAGAAACAAAATTACAAGTAAATATGCGTAATGACCAATATATACGCTTGTCTTCCAGAATGTTAGATTCTCGCTCCCCTAAAAGAATGCAAAAGTTAGCTGACATACAGTAAACATGTAAAATAGTCAGCTTACCAAATCTGGTGTAGACTTTTTCTTTTTCGCAGCAGACTGAGCTTTTTTCGCTCCTGGCAGGGCAACTTTGACTACCCTTTCTTTCTTTGAGTCGCCTTCATGTTTACCACTTTTCGAATGAGACGCCGACAGAGGACTTGTTGCTCCTTCGTCTAGCATGCTTGTAGTCAAAGGTTCGGACGCATCATTGGCGTGATTCATGTTTGTAAGGTCTGGTGAGTCTGAATCAGACCTTGTTTTCGTTCCACGTCGCATAACTTTGAAAGATATCCTTGCTCAACTCCTTGCAGTTAAGCTTGTACCCCCGGGTCGCCAATAGCTGGTCATAAAAAAATTTTACACCGTAAAACTTCGCTGTCTGTTCGAATGAAGTATTTTAAAAACGCTTCTTCAAGAGAACATCTTACGACGCAAACTTTTCAAGAAAACTGCCAACGAGATAGTCATCGTCCCGACCGGAAAGAAAGCTCCTCCGTATCTGTTCAAAACCAAATAAACACAAAATTATGGTGAGAACTACAGTTGGACGACATGACACTTGGTTCTTACTACCCACTCTTCCAGTGGACTGGAGGGACTGGGGCACAACTGGACCCATTTCTAGTCAACTCGTTCGCGTGGTTGGTCAATGGTGCCTTTTGAAACCGGGTTGGGGGGAGGGGGGCACAAATATACAGAACCGGCCAAAGCTCTAACTTGGAAATTGATTTGAAAGGTGAAATAAATCTCTCTCAAAAAAAAATTCTCCGGAACCTGGACCTAGGAGCTCAGATGGCAAATCCCGAAGGAGATGAGTGGATAAATATTTCAAAACATCAATCTGGATTGGTTTGGAGACTCCGTTCAAAATGCACACCCTCAAAAAAAGAAGAAAAAAGGAAAACATTTTTTTTCGTACACCAGGAGCCCAACAGCTTCGAACAAAAATGCGTCCATTACTAAAGTCGTTCCCAGGGCATTTTACCTTACATGGGAAGGGGGAGTGGGAAGATGTCTTTAATCGGAGTTGCCGCGGTTTGGTCACGTGGTAAGTAGCCTCCATGATCGCGCTGATCGATCCTGCTTTTGACTGGTTTGCCAATGTTAAGTTGGTTAGTATCGAGTTTTCTTTTCTTTTCCAGTCACTTGATATAAGTCTGATGGGTAGATGCTCATCTCTTTCAGTTTGTCTCCTCTAGCTAGAGCATGCACGTTCGATCATTTCCCTCGCGCGTGCTCGACCGGTTCCACTCCGTATAATTAAAAAGCTAATTTAGCTAAACTCCAGAATACCCGGCCACTTATTAGCATCTCATTGAATAAGAATAGCAACTATTGTCATATACCTCGTTCTTCAAAGCACACCGGCACATGTAAATTAAGTGGCCGGGTATTCTATTTTGTATGCGCATGACCTTCAGTGACAAAAAAGCCTTCAACTTAAACTTCAGGTGGTATTTGATGGAGTGTTTGAGATATATTTTAAAGTACTCACCGGCAGAGACCCTTTTCACTTCTTTAGCTCTTGTAAGCTTCAGCTTGTAGTCTTTATTTATTTATTTATTTATTTATTTATTT